TTGATGATGCATGGAGGGGATTGGAACCATGGCAATGAAATGATATATGATGGAATGAACGTAAAACTAAAGTTCTCTCATGTAAACTATCATATAATTCACAATAAAACATTAAAAAAAAAGTGGGAAAAATTTACAAATAGGCAGAAAAATGAGCCTACAGTCATCAGAAGAAAAATAATAAATGTTTGAGTGAAATAAATGAAACTAAATAGAAAAACATTGGAAAGAATAAGACTAGTCATTGATTCCTTGATAAGATCAATAAAGTTGACAGAACTCTGGTCAATCTAAAAAGAAGTTGACAGAACTAATCTAAAAAGTTGACAGAACCAATCTAAAAAGAAGTTGACAGAATCTAAAATAAAGTTGACAGAACTCTGGCCAATCTAAAAAGAAGAAAATGCAAATAACATGAATAAGAAATGAAATGTCAGTATCAGAACCAACTGGAATAGAAAGAATAAAAACAGAGTTCTATGAACAACTATTGTTAAGTTCCAACTCATAGCAACCCTGTATAGAGTTTCTGAGGAGCAGCTGGATTTGAACCACAGACTTTGTGGTTAGCAGTCCAATGTTCATTTTACGTTTTACAGTGCCATAAAAATCTAGAGGAGTTGGACAAATTTTTAGAAACACATCACTTACCTAAACTAGCAGACTAAGGGTGAAAATCTGAACAGACTCATAGCAAAAACTTGATCAGATCATTAAAAACATCCCAATAACAAAAAAAAAGTTCTGACCCAGATAGCTTCATTTGTGAATTCTACCAAATATTCAGAGAACTGACACCAATTCTACTCAAACTATTCCAGAATACAGAAAAAGATGGAATACACCCATTTATTTTGTGAAGTGAGTATAACCCTAATATCAAAACCAGTCAAAGAAAATTGAAGACCAATATCTCTCATGAAAGGAGTCGTGGTAGCACTGTGGGTTATACATTGAGCTGGTATTTAAGTTTACCAGTCACTTCACATGAGAAAGATGAGGCTTTCTGCTCCCCTAATGTTTTACAGCCTCAGAAACACTATACAGGGTTATTATGAGTCGAAACTGACTTCACGGCAAACCACCACCACCACCACCATTTCTCGTGACTATAGATGCAAAATTGTCAAGAAAATCTTAGCCGATAGAATCCAATTACATTTCAAAAACCATAATATATCATGAACAAGTGGGCTTTATACTAGGTATGCAAGGATAAGCTCAATATCAGAATAACAATGAATGTAATACACTACATAAATAAAGCAAAGGATATGTGATCATATTATTTGCTACTGAAAAGGCATTTGACAAAACCCAACACCCATTGCTGGTAAAAGCGCTCAACAAAATAGGAACAGAAGGGAAATTCCTCAAAATTAAAACCATGTATACTAAATGGACTCAACAGCACCTACAACAACATACAAAATTAGAGGCCAACATTACTGTTAATTAAGAGACTAAAAGCATTCTCCATGTGAATGAAAACCAGACGAGGATGCATTGAATCACCACTCCTATTCAACATTTTATTGGAAGTCCTGTTTTTGTTGTTGCTGTTAGGTGCCAACAACAGAACAAAACACTGCCAGGTCTTGTACCATCCTCACAATTGTAGTTATGTTTAAGTCTATTGTTGCTGCCACATTGTCAATATTTCTTGTTGAGGGTCTTCCTCTATTTTTTTATTGACCCTCCACTTTACCAAGTATGGTGTCTTTCTCCTGGGACTGATCCCTCCTGACAATATATCCAAAGTATGAGAGGCAAAGTCTTACCATTCTCTCTTCCAAGGAGCATTCTGACTGTACTACTTTCAAGACAGATTTGTTTGTTCTTCTGACAGTTCATGTTACTTTCAGTATTCTTCACCAATTCCACAATTCAAATGCATCTATTATTCTTCTGTGGTCTTCCTTATTTGTCCAACTTTCGCTTGTTTATGAGGCAGTTGACAACACCATGGCTTGGGTCTTGTACACCTTAGTCTTCAAACTGACATCTTTGCTCTTGAACACTTTAAAGAAGTCTTTTGCTGCAGATTCGCCTAAAACAATGCACCATTTGATTTCCTTTTTTTTTTATGTTTTATTGTAAATTATATGGTAGTTTACATGAGAGAACTTTAGTTTTACATTCATTCCATTGTATATCATCTCATTGCCATGGTTCCAATCCCCTCCATGCATCATCAGCCACCCAAAGGGTATATCCTAGAAACCCACCCTTTACACCCCACCCCCCCCCCCAGTCTTCGGCCCACAGTCCCTTTCCCTCTCTGAATCCAAAGTCCCCAGCCGCTTCATCACTCCATGTCATCGTCTCTGTCTCCATCTCAGGCATCTCTGTTTCTCTGGGTAGGGTCCCGCTCTCAGCTCTTCTCCCTTGATGGTCCCAGATACCTCTGCTCCTATCCTGGAGAATTAATCACTCCCTTCCGTGTTCCAAAACGTCTACCTTTGCATTCCCAACCCTCATAATCCGTCCTGATAAGCATTATTCACTACAGTATCACGAGTTACCCATCTGTATTTCCTTTCATCAGCTCCGCCCAGACAGATTGAATAGTACCCACTGGAGATTCTGTCTTCCTCCATGCTCCCTAGCACTAGGTTCCCCCTTGAAAGCTTGTAAGCCAATCACTTCTTGCCTTTGTAGTCCCCCCCTCCCCATTTGAGTATCCAATGTCCACCATTTGATTTCTTGAGGACTACTTCCAAGAGTGTTGATTGTAGATCCAGGCAAAATGAAGTCTTTGACAACTTCAGTCTTTTCTCAGTTTATCACTATGTTATTTATTGGTCCAGTTGTGAGGATTTTTGCTTTCTTGACGTTGAGGGGCAACAAATATTGAAAGCAGTGATTTTTTTTTATCTTCATTGGAAAGTCTGCTTCACTTCCAACAAACAAGGTTGTGTCATCAGAACATCACAGGTTTTTCATGAGTTTTCCTCCAGTGTTGATGCCATGTTCTTCTTCATGTACTCAAGCTTCTCAGATTATTTGCTTAACATAGAGATTATATAAGTATGGTGAAAGGATACAACCCTGATTCACACCTTTCCTGATTTGAAAACAATCAGTATTGCCTTCTTCTGTTTGAACAAACCACCTCTTAGTCTATGTACAGGTTCCTCATAAGCAAAATTATGCATTCTAGAATAACCATTGCTTGCATTCCAGAGCAATTAGGCAAGAAAGGGATATAAAATACATCCAAATTGGCAGATAATAAATAAAACTATTTGCAGATGAAATGATTATACAAATAGAAAATCCCAAAGATGCAGCAAGAAAATTATTGGAATTAATTGAAAGATTCAACAAAGTGGCAGGGTACAAGATCAACATACAAGGTAGGCTACGCAGAAAAGCTGTGCAGCCCCATCAGGGAAAGCATGGAAAACCAGGTAAAACATATTCAAAGGACCATGCACACTGATTGAGCAAGGAATAGAATTGAAGGGATGGAAGCCAGAATCAGCAGGCTTAAAGACAAATTTCTCAATACTGCTAAGATAGAAGAGCAACCAGGAAAAAGAGTGAAAAAATCTGAAGAGAGCATAAGATTCATGTGGGATAACATGGAGAGAAATAACCTGAGACTGATTGATATCCCAGAGCAAGAAGAGACAAAGAAAACCACAGAAGAGATAGTCGAAAAGCTGCTAATAGAAAATTTCCGTAACATCTTGAAGGATGAGAACATAAGCACTCAAGAATCTGAGCAAGTTCCACACAGGATAGACCCCAAAAGAAAATCACCAAGACATATCATAATCCAGACTCTTCAAAATTAAAGACAAGAAGCAAATCCTAAAAGCACCTAGGAAAAAAGAAGTGTTACCTACAAAGGAAAGTCAATAAGATTAATCTTTGTTTCCCAGGAGAAACCATGCAGGAAAGAAGACAATGGAAAGACATGTACAAAACTCTGAAAGAAAAAAACTATCAACCAAGAATCATATACACTGCAAGCTGTCCAACAAATATGATGACAAAATTAAAAAATTTCAGGATAAACAGAAATTAAGAGACTTAATTTTGGAGCTAGTGCTCCAAAACATACTAAAGTAAGTTCTTTGGACTGAGAACCAACAAGAGCAGACAACAACTAGAGATTGACATACATAGGTGGCAACACTACCTGGAGCTCAGTCCAGATATGGATGAGTCCAGAGTAGAACAAAACTTTAACAATGAAATTAGGGAAGATGGAACCAGCAGAGCCTTAGAGCCACAATGATCCAGCTTGTCTGCTCTGGGACCACTCCAGGACCACTAGGCTAGCTCATGGAGGTAAATGGCAAGGGAAACCAATATTCATAAGACAATCAAGCATCTTAACATCATTTCCCCTCCTTTACCCATTCAAACTATGCCTTGATCCTTGCATCACAGAGCCCTGTTGTTCCAAGGTTGAGCATACATCACTATTTACCTCTGTCCCATTTAGCCCATGCAAACCTGCCTAAGTGTTCCCCTATCTATCTTATTCTTCCTAATTTCATTCTTTTTTTTTTTTTT